CGGCTGGCAATCTGCTGCACCATCAGCGAGCCAAGCGAGAAGAGCGCGCTTCCGGCAGGGCGGAATATTCCGCCTCGGGCTGGGATTAATTGTAGCACTACGGGCCGCGGCGGCCCGTGTACAGGATACAGGTGACGGGGTCCGCGCTCCGTGTGCAACACAGGTGAATTAGTTAGCTTGATAATAGTTTTGGAATATGGTGCTTTTCAAAGCCTTTGATAAATTGTCAGGTCAATCCCCTTTCTTAAAAATATAACCATTGTCCGCAGTATATGCGAAGCATTCTGTACTTGAGTAATGAGTGAAAACAACCACAGCAAACATGCCCCTTTCCTGGTATTCCACCTTATCCGGATTATGGGACCCTGTATGAACGGTACAGGATCCGACAAACCGCCTAGTGCTTAGGTGCAGACAATCGACTTTGCCCAGGAAATAATTCAAGTAAGCATCCACATTGATCGCCTAGCAAAACCACAGACAGGGTTCGTTAGAGAGCCGCATCACCGAGTGGGAATATGGGCATGTGATAAAATTACGGTGTGTGTGAAGCGCATGGTATTCTTAAAGAGGCGGTGCCAACTCTCAAAAGCAAATACAATCCCATGAGCGCAGCATTATAGGTCAAGCGCGTCCACTTCGCACTGCAAAGCCAGCCTTCTCAGACGTTCCCCAAGCGGCTCATATTTTACATTTAAAACGACAGTTTTCGCGGGGTCTTCCACTGGATTCCTTACTCACTAACAGGCATGCGTTTAAATCCCGGGAATGGATCCCAAGATCAAATCCCTAGGCCCTAGACTCGGATCTTTTCCAAAATTTTGAGAATACATCTCCCCGGAACAAGGGTCTACTGAAAAAAATCCTTAATTATTCTCCGGGATCTTGGGTTTTCGTTGAAATTTTGCGAACGATATTCCGGGACCCTGCTACGGCAGGCACTGAATAGCCGGCTCTCTGACCGTCCCGGTTGGACACAGCTCAACGGAGGCCCCTCCGCGAGGGAAGCATCGCCACCGGAGGTCCCTGTGCGAGCGAAGCGCAACCAACGGAGGTCCCTCCGCGAGGGAAGCATCGCCATCGGAGGTCCCTGTGCGAGCGAAGCGCAACCAACGGAGGCCCCTCCGCGAGGGAAGCATCGCCACCGGAGGTCCCTCCGCGAGGGAAGCATCGCCACCGGAGGTCCCTCCACGAGGGAAGCATCGCCACCGGAGGTCCCTCCACGAGGGAAGCATCGTCATCGGAGGTCCCTGTGCGAGCGAAGCACCGCCACCGGAGGTCCCTCCGCGAGGGAAGCATCGCCACCGGAGGTCCCTCCACGAGGGAAGCATCGCCACCGGAGGTCCCTCCACGAGGGAAGCATCGCCACCGGAGGTCCCTCCACGAGGGAAGCATCGCCACCGGAGGTCCCTCCACGAGGGAAGCATCGTCATCGGAGGTCCCTGTGCGAGCGAAGCACCGCCACCGGAGGTCCCTCCGCGAGGGAAGCATCGCCACCAGGGGTCCCTCCGCGAGCGAAGCATCGCCACCAGAGATAGCCTGAAATGGCCGCAATGCTGTATGCACTCTTTTCTATTTCTTTAAAGACGTTCTGTCCTGAGATGCTATCTGGAAATGACTCGGGCCACAAGGGCACTATCTCCTGGTTCATACGCGCGGGTCATGGTCACTACGGCTCTATCTCCCCGAGAACATAATGCTTTTCCAATGTAACCGGGGACAGTGAACCTTTCATCAGCGAGGTTCATACCCACGGGTTATGGTCAACACGGCACTATCTCTTCGAGAACATAATGCTGTTCCAATATAATCGGGGACAGTGAACCGTTCATCAGCGAAAGCCTAACGCAATGTAAGCAACGAATCTGCAATAAGCTGCTTGACCTTAACAGCGTGGGGCGCTGTACTACGTGGTCAGTAGTAAGGGTCAGTGCAGTGCAAAACAAACCAAACGGCTTGGACAACAGCGGTTTACGGTGCTGATACAATAAGAGGACTGTTTCCTGCTTAGGCAGCACTGCCATATCAGCTATTAAGATTGCCATTTCCGATTACCAGATCACTTTTACATGACACGTGCCATTCGACACAATGCTAATAGTTTTTGCTATGGTGGCGCTATGCTTAACACCTGTCGGGTCGTAGCGACATGTTCGAGTGATGTTCAGTGAGCTTCGTTCACGCGAACTGAAAGCTACTGGCGATGCCTGACGCCTGCGCGCGCGCGCGTGCGGGCCGCGCAGGGTCAGCTACTGAGACGACTGCGAGGGTGACGCACAAGTGTCGCCGGCCGGCTGGCCCGGACGTTGAGGTGCCGCTTGGTGTCCGCGTATACCACTCGGAGCTGAACGGCGAGATACACTCTGGCCGCTACAGCAGTCGGTATGCCTGCTCAGACGTTCATATCAGATACGTGCAACTTAAAGGGTACGTGCCGTCACTTCATTCTAAAAGGGATCAAGTCGGTCATTGCTTTCGTAATGCCGATAACCGTGCGGACCATGACCGGGCGGTGTTCATGATGATGATGGTGATCGTTGATGATGTGCACGCGGCATGGCTTGTCACGCTTCCACGTAACTTACACGTGATGCTATTTTTACGACCCAGCACATGCATGCCTTCAGCACTTAAACCGAGAAAAAATGGGGACGGACCAGAACCGACCACATCACGACGACGGCACAACCTTCACATTGATGTTAAACGGCCATGGCACATCCGAAAAGAAACAACATGGAAACACACACCCTCTATTCCAGCAGATCAAAGGCTGTGGCTTAATGAATGCTGCAGTGGCCCATGTCGTCACGGTGCCGACAGAAGTCGCGGAGTTGCCATGCTATTCCGGCCAAGTTAAAGGGAATGCCCCACCTTTGAGGCATGTTTCAAAAACATACTCTAGTGAAACATCAGGACTAGTTACGTCTAAAAATAGCGTCTAATAAATAATAGATAAATAATTGGGTAGCGCCCCCGCGGCATCGTCAAGGCAGTAAGGACACCAATGCCATTATTTTAGAGTCCCAATTACGCTGTCCACACTTTGTAACAGCACTGCCTAGCGCTACTACACTTCTTCCCCGCAAGCGCAACCACCACCGTCATGACAACACCCGTGTGCACCTCCGCTGGACAAAAGGGCGTTTGTGATTGGTCCAGCGGCAAGCGCCCGCTACGGAGAAGCTGGTTGATTAAGGTTTGAACCAGAGCGTCACATGGATCATGTGATGCTCCCATTTCCAAAGCTAAAGTGTGCCTCGAAAAGGGTCACAGTGGTAAACGCCGTAGGGGAGCTAAAAGCCATAGTCTAACCATTCTTTGAATTCGCGGGATAATAGCTTCATATTAGCACATATATTTGCCTAAGCAGGGTGTTTCAAGCTGTCGTAGCATTAGTACACAAAAGTTTTGGCACATCAGTGTGGTGTAAGCATTACAGAACACACATGTTAGAGAAAACAGGACAAATCCAATGCACAACTTTCATAATGGTGGGCAGGGAGTCAAATGATATTTCTCCGCAGGGTCGGCTACTTCAAATACAAATTCTGAGCCATTCAGAAGGATTTCAAGAAAACTGGTATTACTAATCAAATATTACGCGTCCGTCATAACAATATGCGAAAAGTACAAAAAGGGTGGGATACCCCTTTAAGCAGTCAAGGCGACACAGATTCAGAAAAACGTCGATGGATGTTTTATAGTTCTGTTATGACGATTAACGGCTTTCAGAATCGTCCATTTTGGTGCGCATGACACACTTACAAATATATCCATGACCCAACAGGAATCCAGTCCTGCCGTTGGAAAATCTATCAGACCGCTGCGACCAATTCAATGGAGAGTACGTCATCACATGAGGCTTCAGCTTCTGTTTGGACGTTTCGTCAGATACGCAAAGCGCACGAGAAAGGTTATCAATCAAAGAACAGTGTATATGTACAGCTTCACACCATATCAATGAAAATGACCTGACTGGCGTCAAGAGGTCTCCTAAACCCAGCCGTGAAACAATGCAGGCACCATAAATCGAACCAATCCAGCAAATCAAGGATCGACTTATTCTTAACAAACCAGTCATTGACAAGAAGAAATTCAACATCTGGTTTCAAGAGCAGATGACTACCTGGCCAACACACATCTGTCCACTTAACATTTTCGTGGGATGAGAATCATCAGGAAAATCATTCGTAATTCAGAACAGCTGCGAGAAACATTGCCTGTACATAGAAGCACTTCTATTGACAGGTCAGCGTAAGGATGGTTCTGCGATTCAAGCCTTTCAACGCCAGCATGTTGGGAAAGGAAAGCACAATCGTCGGTTGTGGTACGTTAAACGAAATCGTATGTCGCATGCAATGCGATGCGATCGATGTTCAACAAATTTACAAATGTCGGCTTTCCATCATTATCTGATGCCGGAGCACAGCCGGAAAATCGGCAGAGCTTGTTCGCATACCGGAAATATGTTGGACCCTGCCTAGTCTAAGCCTTTTTATCCGGCTGGAAACACGGCGGGGATCAATGGATGCAGTCCAGCGCTGTTTACCAAGCGCTGCATTCCAAACGAACAAGATTTCCCCAGTTCATATAAAACAGAATGCATTCAGCTACCTAGCACAATGCAGTGGCTTGGCGGCTTCCCGCTGCGCTACGAGGCGACAATGACTACGCGTAATTACGAGGCGACATTGCGAGGCTCTGGATGACAATGCAAGCCAGCTGCGTTCCTGACCGTCTCCGGACCCCTGGCTGTGGTGAGACGGCGGCCAGTGAAAGGCTGACGGACGCGGCGCGGCCTGAGCCGCCGAGTCGCCCCGAGCCCGGTCGCCCCGAGCCCGGTCGCCACCAGCGAGCGGGCGCCAGCGCTGTCCTGCTCCGACCCACAGTCACCGACAGTCCCCTGGCGACGCGTCCGGTCTCGGGGAGCCCGCACGGGTCCGGCCGTCCAGGCGCCCCGTCACCTGGCCGCAGTCCCGCCTCGGCGCCCCACTCACCTGTACATGCTGCCGGACACGTCGGTGACCAGCTTCAGCCGCTTGGGCTTCTCCTGGGGCGTGCCGAGCTCGGGCTCCTGCTCGCCGCGCCGTTTGTAGATGGTGCGCTCGCCCGTGATGCCTGCGCACGACCGCCGGTCAGGCTCGAGGCGTCGACCCGGCGGAGCGGCGGCCGGGCGGCCGGGCGGCCAGGCGGCCAGGCGGCCATGCAGCCAGGCAAGGCAAGCCTTTGAGCACGACAGCTCCGCTCGTCTGACAGACGAAATGATTTCATGACCTACTCAGCTGGGATAACACCGGATCGGCCGCACCGGACAGCAAGCCGGCCCGTCCTTTGGCGGTCGTGACCCCAAAGGCGAGTGAATAAAACAGGAGCACGGAACGGACCGATGGGCGGAGGTGTACTTAGAACGGCTTCAGCACGTTTCCAGAGCAGCTGAACACAGCCTGCGTTTCTTGGGTTTACCTTCGATCAGTTTGGCGTCGTCCAGTTCGCCGGACGTCTGGTGCTTCAGCCACTGGCGCTCCTTGCCCTTGGCCTGCAGGCTGGATAGGAGCACACGCAGCGACTGCACCTGGAGGGGTGGCACACGGCATCGGGTGCGGCCTCACGCGTGGAGGAGCTCGCGGGGCGCCGTACTCGCCGGCGGCATGAGATGGCCGGCCGCGCGCAAACGTCAACAAAGCGGGCTCGTTCCTTTTTCTTGAAGCGATCAGCGGGATCACTTGACCGCGCTCCAACAAGGTGCTGAACACAAATCATTGCGTGTGATCTGGCAACAGCCAGTCAATAACATCTCGCTTGTATTGCTCATGTCAGAATTCATCAAATAAGCTACGCTAGGAAAGCTCACAAATCAAAACGCCAAACCAGCAAATGTATCATGGACACATTTTTACATAACAACAGCAGCCATACGAGGTAACATCAAAAGCTATATGTCTTCACATATGCATTAGATGCAATACGTTTCCAGCAAAGATCAGAAATAGCATCTAACATATGATCCCTAGCTCTGACGAAATCCCGCCTCGTCGGGTCGCACGCGCGCTCTGATTTCGAGGTCCCTCCGCCTGACGCCGACGCATCGGGTCGCATATGTCAGCCGTACGTGGGGTGCCGGCGGACACGGATACCGGCCGGATTAGCAGCCGCCGGCGGACGCCCCCATCCTTGACGTCAGAGGCCGCTTTTGTACATCACCGGGGGAAAAGTCCGTACCGGGCAGAGGGCGCTGGCGCCAATGTTATTGTTAGCAGCTTGAGGGGTGGCTCGTGTTCATGTCCTCATGCTATCAGTGCCTGTTCACAAGCGTTGGCGTTCGTCCTTTATTCACAGACGTTGGCGGTCATGCCATAGAAAGCATGCTTACGGATGCTGGCGCTCATGCCATCAGTGCAAGTTTAGAGACGTTGACGCTAGTGCCGTCAGTACGTGTCACATGCTGAAGCTCATGCCGTCAGTGCCTGTTTGTACATGTTGAAGCTCGCACCGTCAGTACCTGTTTGCGGGCGTTTACCCCCGTGCCGTCAGTGCCTGTTTGCGGGCGTTTACCCCCGTACCTGTTTGCGGGCGTTTACCCCCGTGCCGTCAGTACCTGTTTGTGGACGTTGGCGTCCATGCCGTCAGTACCTGTTTGTGGACGTTGGCGCCCATGCCGTCAGTACCTGTTTGTGGACGTTGGCGCCCATGCCGTCAGTACCTGTTTGTGGACGTTGGCGTCCACGCCGTCAGTACCTGTTTGCGGACGTTGGCGCTCATGCCGTCGTACATCTGGGCGTCATACTCAGACATGCGTATCTGGCGGAGCCGCTCCTCGTAGGCGGAGCGGTTCATCTGGCGGGCCGCCTGGCGCACGTGCTCGGGCACCGCCTCCTTCTCCCAGTCGGGCACCTGGGACCACAAGCACCGACTAAATCATCGACCATGCTCGCCTGAACTGACGGCAACGTGCTTCGGCAACGCTTCGCTCTATCACGGGCGGGGGGGGGGGGGGGCGTATTGCAGCTGGTGCCTACCACCTGAATGACCAGCCCACAGACAGACAGGGTCGACCCTCAACAGACCTGATGGGATGTCTGCCATATGTCATGTAAGGCTATGTAATGCACTATGTAACCCCTCGCGGGAATGCCTCAGCAAACCAGAATCCAAGCAACCTGGCGCTGGGAGAGACCCAAACCAAAAAGGTGCGCTCAGCAGTAGACGTGATATTGCATCCAATTTCGCCCGACTGTGTTGTAAGATCATCTCTGTTACATCTCATCTCTGTTAGGAAAGAGTTCAATGAGATACACATGAACTTAGCTTTCTCCAAACAGAATTGTGTCATGCTCACAGCTTGATCGATTTGACCTGCATAAGCCTGTGGATAGCGCTGAATGGCATGAATCGCTGAAAATCGGTGGTGACCATGCACCTACAACACACATAGAACTCCGGCTCATCAGCAGCGGCGGCGCCTTGCACCATTCATCAGCACCATCCAATATGGTAGCTGCCACTCGCGGCTTTTGTGCAGGAAGACGGGCAGAAACTTCCAGTCACACGCAGCCGCGACCCCGCCGCCATCGGGCCCCCAGCCGACCCCGCCGCCATCGGGCCCCCAGCCGACCCCGCCGCCATCGGGCCCCCAGCCGACCCCGCCGCCATCCGACCCTCAGCCGACCCCGCCGCCATTGGGCCCCCAGCCGACCCCTCCGCCATCGGGCCCCAGCCGACCCGCCGCCATCGGGCCCCCAGCCGATCCCGCCGCCATCGGGCCCTCAGCCGCGACCCCGCTGCCCCGGCGCCGGATCGCCGCGGCCCTCGCTGCCAGCCATCGTGGCGGCTGTGGCCGCTAATGCAGCACTCGCGCACCAGGAGGTTCGGACGAGCGCACCAGGAGGGTCGGACGAGAGCACCAGGAGGTTCGGACGAACGGCGCACCAGGAGGGTCAGACGAGCGGCGCACCAGGAGGGTCGGACGAGCGCAGCAAGAGCGAGGCTCTTCGGTTCAGCTCCACATTGTGAGCCCATAAAAGAGGCATCGGCCCTTCTACCGCTTCAGGCGCGTGGCTACGAATCAGTCGCATGGTACCGAACTGAAGACACGCAGCGCATGATCAATCGCATTTAATCATGGGTGCGTGACGCTCGCAGCACGTAGGCCAACACCCGTTCGTACCGAACTTGGTAACAGCAGCAGCGCACTGTGCCTGGAGGTACGCTTAGCCGCATTCAACGAGCATTCTGACCAACCACTCTATTCAACCTGCATTACGATCAACCAGAGTACACCGCCGCCGTGACATCATTGAGGATTTGGCACGCACCAGTGCATACGGGTGGTGCCAAACGGGCGGGCGGCCCAAAGACATACACTGCTACCCGACGTGCATCGGTGATTGGCGATATAAGTGAGTTGTCATGAATACAATGCACACAAAAGAACGGACGTCCGTTTGAGACCTCCATCAACTTCATCAAACCAAAGGTTTCTGGTGTTAAGCATGATCTCCTTGCGCTTTGTTCGGTGATCCGCTGGACACCAAATTCTCCATGACGTCTAGGCGACCACGCGATCGTTGCAGTCAAATTACCACTGGCACACTTCTGCAGCCCGGAGCGCATCTCCTGGACTGTCGACAGAAACTGCTGCGTGCACGGCGCTGATCAAACACGCTGCACCTCTCGCGCCGATGAGCCTTGTCGGCGTTTTCTGAGCGTCGGCACCGGATCACGCCCAGTCCGCTACGCCGCAGGGCCAATCATGCCGGCCAGCAGCGACCGACCGGATCACGGCCAGTCCGCTACACTGCAGGGTCAATCACGGCAGCCAACAGCGACCGCGCCTGGTGTCGTCCCATGTCAGAGTCGCAGACAGGACCAATACATGATAAAAAACAATGACACGGTCCGGTTCCTCCCCGATAAAAGGTTAGTAGAAGAGCTAATGGTCTATCAGCAACGAATTTCTCCCCGGAGAGGCTGCTCCTAACAGAGGGCGTAGGTAGGTGACGGGTAGGGGAGGGGGGGGGGGGGGGGGGGCAGCGCCGCGCGGCGCCAGTACGGCCGCGCCCCGGGCTGGGCGACAACGGCGCAGCAGCCTCCATTGATGGCCCGGCGGAGAACCTCAAGTGCAAGGCGAGAGCGACCCACACCGGGTGTCGAGACCAAACATACGCTAAGCGTTCGAGACCAACGCAGAGCGCTCGAGACCAAAGATGAAGGTTCGAGACCAGCACTACACTGCTCAGCGGGAGCGACGTCACGATGTCCAGCGAGAACAGCACCACGCTGCCCAGCGAGAGCAGCACTGCACTGCTCAGCGGGAGCGACGCCACGATGTCCAGCGAGAACAGCACCACGCTGCCCAGCGAGAGCAGCGCTGCACCACCCAACGAGAGCGCGCTTTACCGCGTGATTACAGCAGCCGGAGCGCCGAGATTAAGGCATGCTGAGACACAACAGTACACTGAGGGTAGAGAACTAACACGCACCCGGATGATAAGTGGGGGACGGGGCAATTTGATCCTGAAGGTTTTTCAAGACTTACTTCCGAACGGTACGGCGTAGCAGCACCAAACGTTCTCGAGTTGTGGGCAATTTAATAGCCGATCTTTTGGTACACATAATTGAATATACATTGCTAGGCCGCTGCCATATAGCAGGCCAAACTAAGCCTACGGCTCTAACAAAGGCAATGTCTCGGGAATCATTCAACCTGTGGCGACAACAGTGTTAGGACACGTGATACAATTCAAAGGTGTTTTTTATGCAATTAAACTACAGCAATTAGAATTACGACCAATGACATTGCCCGTGGGCCATGAAGACAGGTTATATCACGGTCCAAACCAAGCCGCTTTATCGCGGAACACTGGCTCTCGTGAACAGTTTTTGACGTTCATTTCAAATCCTTGATAACAGGGATGTCAGCAGACATCTCATGTTGACGTCATGCAGCCCAGGGGAGGTCACTGGCCTAAAATGATCCTGGTCAGCCTGATGCGTCCAGGAACATGTAGCGTAGTTTTCAATGCATGTTAACATTTGCGGCTACGGGCCGCGTCGACTATGTTCGTCATTGCGTGCCTCAAGAAACAGCCGAATCATGTAATCCCGCTCAGTCACGTCAGCCTCAAGAAAACCGAATTGTATACAAATCAGTCAAAGCATGCAATCTCGTCCAGCCACGTCAGCCTCAAGAAAACCGATTTGAACAAAAATCAGTCAAAGCATGCAATCTCGCCCAGTCACGTCAGCCTCAAGAAAACCGAATTGAATGAAAATCAGTCAAAGCATGTAATCTCGCCCAGTCGCGTTGGACTTCAGAAAACCGAATTGAAAGAAAATCAGTCAAATCATGTTATCTCGTTCAGTCACGTTGGACTTCAAACACCTTCATGAACAAATACAACTGCACACCAATGTGGTTTAGTCGACAGCGCTGCTAGACAACGCCGCATCGCAGGAGGGGGTTCCTCTAACCAGCTGTGCAAGAATCACTGTCAGGGAGAACGCAACTCCCACTGCATCGTATTCACGGCACGACACCAGCCTGCGCTCCACCGTGGACCGTTCGCCGCACCTGTCTCACACTGGGGGGGGGGGGGGGGGGGCTGGCCAGCCAGGAGAAACGAGAGAGCTGCGTGTGTACGGCCCAGCCGCAGGCCAGGGGACCTCCTCCCACCTGTTCTTACGGTGTGATGTCTCTCCTCACCGATGATGCGCCTCAGCAGCGTGAACGAGCTGTTCGTGGCATCCCATCTCCTCTGCCGCTGTCTGCGCACACATTCGCTGCAGCAGCTTGCTTCGAGTGCGGGCTGGTGTTGAATAGGAAATGGATGGCGCTGGTCACAAGCCGCCATTGGCGCCTCGTCTGTGCGTCGTCTCCCGGAAATCCCAACATGACTGGGAACCCACATGAATATCACACAAAGTCTCTGATCGCTCGTAGGCCGGAGCCTGTCCCAGATTGAGCAGACCCAGTGAAAATGACCGCGTGATTCGGTGGCTGAGCATAGGGATACAAATGAGCTCATGGAATCAGTGAGGTCCAGAAAATATTTTTCGCGACATCACAAAAAATGCTGCGCTGCAGGGATGGCAAACAACTTGGCCGAAAACAGTAATTCGAGGTGGTAGGAAGAGATAGGTTCTGTGTGGCGTTGTCGCCGCAGACATAAGCACGCCCGGTCCCAGCTGATCTTTTCGAGCCACCCCAGCCATCTTCAGAAAGCCACCGTACAGGGGATTCATTTCGCAGCATATCACACGAATTCCACCTTGGATGCCGATGCCGTCTTCTACTAGCGTAGACTCGGGTCACATGCTGGGGATGAGGAGTCCCACGGAGGCAGATCATGCCGAGAAGTTTTGACCCGGTCCAATCGCCTTTAGAGACATACGTTCCCAGCAGGAGTGTTGGCCCTGGCCTTGGCCGACCCCATGCTTTTAAAATTATGACCGTCAGCGATTTTATTCAGACAGTGTCGACCGAGCCGCCCCGGATTGGCTGCTGCCTCATCCAATGGAGAAAAGGCAACCGCCTCATCAGCGGCTGCGGCGTGTTCGCTGGTGGCCGTGCGGCTGCTGATACCCCTCCCCTCCCCCTTATAAAGCCAGCTGGTGAGAGAGCCTGAACCATCTTCCGACATGGCAGGAGGAGCGCGAGACTTCAGCAGAGGCGGTGTCCGTCGCACCCGCGGATGCCGGCGAGCTACGGCGTGCTCCCGGGTCCTCTGCACGAGCAGATGATCCCTTCTTGCAACCTGGTCATCGGCGGGATTATCCGACGATTCACCGAGTGAGTATTTACTACTGGAAGTCACCGGAATAATGTTGATGCCGAGGGGCATGCAGACCTGGAGAGTCTGGAGGCGGAGAAGTGTACACGAAGCGCGGAGCGT